TGGTAATATATATATATATATATATATATATAATATTATTAAACTTTTTGGTCACAACCTATACTCATTGATAAATGATACCCTAACAATATATATTACCAATAATGTCTCTACTGATGGAAAAAAGAAAATGAAAAGGTAGAACAAAGAAATAAATAATAAGAATATTGTCAAATGATATATCTAATAAAAGATAATAATGAAAAAGTATGAAAAAAATAGTAAAATTGTTATCAAATAATATCTGTTAAATATAATATGAATAAGAAAAGAAAAAAGAACAAGAATAATAAATGAGAGAAAAATAGAAGAGAATAAAAATAATGAATAAGGAAAAAATAGAAGTAATTTATTTTATTTTATTTTCTTAAAATGGTAAACAAGTAGAGAGAGAAAAATAATAAGATAAACTAAACAAAAATAATAATAATAATAAAGATTAGCAAATGATACCTCTCAATGAAAATATGAAAAAAATAAATGAGATTAATAAAAATAATATGAAAAAGGATCAAATAATCTTTTATTTAAAGACAAAAAAAATAAAAAGAGAGAAAAAAATAAAAAGAAGATAAAGTAACTAAAAATTAAAATAAAATCATTATCAAATGATATTTCTAATAAAGAATAAAATAAAAAAAGAATTAAAAATTAAAAGAGAAAATAATAAAAGAGAAAAGAAAAAAAAAAGAGAAAATAAAAACAATAAATGAGAAAAAACAAGAGAATGACATGACAAAAAGAATAAATGAGAAAAAAAATGAGGATATGAGCCAAAAGTCACAATATATTCTCAAAAAATATCTATAAATAAATATATGATTTTATTAATGTTATAAATTAATAATTTTTAAAAAAATATAAATATTTAGACAATTTATTATTGAAATATGATTATTCTATTTTGTCTTTTGCTAAAATTCAAATTTAATTAAAGTTCATTTTTATTTTTCTTATTGAATCAAAAAATTTTGGTGTTAACATGATTGTTAATCTTTTCGAGTGAAAATGGATTGACTCTTTTTTTGTATTGACATAATGTTATACGTATTTGACATGTCATTATTAATTTTGTAACACATTTTAAGTGAAATTATTTTTAGATATAATTTCAAGAAGTTTCTTGTGTTACTTATATAATGTATTCTTACAGCATCATATATTCAATGTTTTTAGTAAAAATATAATGATACTATTTAATTACTAAGAAATAATGAACATTATGTTTAACATAATGAATTCATTAATTTTTTTTATAATGAATCAGTTAACAAAAATATATTACAATGAATCATACACATACATTGAACTTTATGTATAATGCATTTATTTTTTGAATGAATTCAATAAATATGATACATAATTTAGTAAGCTAGAATGATTCTGATATATCCAATGTACTTTATGTATAACAAATTCGGTTTTTTCTGTGAATTTAATACAAATTTAGTTTTTTCTGTGAATTTAATAGATATGATCCTTAAATAAGTAAGATACAAAGATTTTGATGGAATCAAAATTATTTTTCATTGAATCTCAAAACATTCTTTAATAATAAAATATTACTAATTTATAGATTAAATAATCCACATACACAATAATAATATTTCTTGATCCACCTATATTTATTTGGTGAAGTTTTATATATATTTTATTAGACTTAAGATTTTATCCTAACTGTCATCAAACTCTCAGAAAAGACTCATTTATGTCATCAGTTAAAAGTATTGACTCATTTATGCCATTACAGTTAAAGAAAAGGCTCATTCATGCCATTATTTTTTAACAATGATTTTGCAAAACCATTTTTGACACGTGTCAAATTATAATTCCACCACGTCATTAATTTTTTTAATTAAAAAAAATTATAATTCTAAATACAATTGAATTAATTTTTTTCTGATTTTTCTTATTTAAAAAATTGATGACGTAGCCAAATTATAATTGGCCACGTCATCAATTATTTAATAAAAAAGTCAAAGTTCTGAATAAAAATTGAATTAATTTTTTAATTAAAAAAATTAATGATGTGACCGAATTTTAATTGGCCATGTGTCAAAAATGATTTTGCAAAACCATTGTTAAATGTGCCAAAACTATTGGCATAAAATATTTGAGCCTTTTCTCTTTGAAAAATATTCTGACTCCGCCTTTTCTTATATTTTGAAACCCTAAAATGGTAAAATAAAGGGGGGAAATAATAATTGAATAGGTATTTTGGCAATTAAATTTTGGAAGTGGCCTTTTTTTTGTTGCTAAATTTTCTCATGATACTTGGATTTAAAATGTTAAGTACCACAACTCAAACATAAAAAGTATTTATGCCTAATAATAATGACATCATAATTATGTCATGCAAATATCACCCATAGTTATAATTAAAAAAACAATCTCAAACATATAAATAAATCTACATATTGCAAATGCATTTAAATTTGAGCACATCCCATTTCAATTCTAAAAAAATCTGCATTTCAATTTTTCAATTAATTACACCAGTTCATTAATTAATTATTCCCAATATAAAAATAGTTTGGTCTACAAACATAAATGTGCCATATATATTTGTTTTATTTAAAGAAGTCTTATAGTACAAATGTCATTAATTTCAGTTACAAAAACTAAAACTACAAAAATTCACTATTTGTGTATAACTATGTTAACTTGGATACTTGGCTTTTGTTCATCAAAGAAAATGAGCTTCGATAAGGATCTCAGTGATGATGAGACTACAATCGACGAAATTTCTCCATTTGAATCAAGCAGCAGCGATGAGGATAATGCTGATGGAATGACATGGTCTGAACGCGAACTTCGCAAAACCATCAAACATATGGAGAACAAAGTTAAGGAACTTACAGCGAAACGCAGTCAGATTGATGCAAGAAGTTCTGCTGCTGCTAAAATCGATGCTGAAATCGAATTGATCCTTTGCGATCGAGACTTATTGAAGGAGGGTTTGGATGAATTTCTGGTGGCATTTGCAGAACAACAACGTGAAGGTATATATCATGTGTTTTGATTATGTGTATGTGTATGACTAGTAAATTAAAGTACTTTTTTGTGTCATGTGTATATACATTTACATTCTTTTGGTTTGATCTTTAATTGATATGAGGTCAAATGAAGTTAAATTCTCTATGAATTAAATTTGATGTAGATGTTGTTTCTATTCTAGAAATCAAGGCCAGAACAGACGGTAACAAATCATTGAATATTCTTGTCTCGTGCTTAACTTGTCATTGATTGCTAAACCCTAGCGCCGATTCACTGATTAGGTGTCAGATTCGAGTTTTGAATCCGTCATTGGAGTTGAGTTTTGGGATCAAGATCGGACCCAATTCAGTTGTCAATGTTGAATCCCAATTTAGAAGTCGGGTTTTTGATCAAGTGTTAGGGTTGGATCTCGATTCAGGTATCGGCATCAGGGTCTAATCTTGATTTGGATGTCGGGTCTTGAGTCAGGTGTCAAGATTGAATCTCAATTTGAGTGTCGAGTTACCAATCGAATGTGCCGATTCAGAAGTTGAGTTGGGGTTGTGTTCCAATATGAAAATCGAGTCCTGTATCGAATTTCGTTTTATGATACAGTAAAACTGAATAAAGTAAAGTACTTTTTTGTGTCATCTGTATATGTTTACAAATTTTTTCGTTTGAGCTTTAGTTGATATGAGGTCAAAAAAAAGTTGAATTCTGTATGAATTAAAATTTAATGTAGAAAAAGTTTCTATTTTAGAAATCAAGGCTCTTGTCTCGAGCTTAACTTATATCATTGATACTAAACCCTAGCGCTGAATCGGGTTCAAGTCACTAATCAAGTGTCAGAATCAAGTTTGAATCAGTCATTGCAGTTACGGTTTGAGATCAAGATCGAATCTAATCTAGCTATTAGGGTCGAATCCTAATTTGAAAGTTGAGTTTTGGATCGAGTGTTGGGGTTGGATCTCAATTGAAGTATCAACATTAGGGTTGAATCTCAATTTGGGTGTCAAGTCTTAAGTCGAGTGTCAAGATCGAATCTCGATTTGAGTATAGAGTTATGAGTCCAATGTTGGGGTTGGCCGGTTCAGAAGTCGAATCCCGAGTCAAGGTAGGATCCCAATATGAAAATCGAGTCTCGGATCGAGTGTCAGAGTCGAATTCCAATTAGAAAATCGAGTTTCAGCGTTGGATTTTGTTTTATGATACAATAAAACAAAATAAAAGTATTTTCAACATTTTTCGTCCAAACAAAGACTAAAATAATTTCTCCATATTGAATTGTAGATGATTTAATTGCGGAGAAAACTATTTTTTACAATTTTTAAAGATATGTGTATATTTTCCTCAGTATATTATATAAAACTCTTTACTAGTGATAATATATGTAACTATGTTTTATAAGACAATTTAGGGGTAACACTCCTATCAAGAATTTTTCGATATCTATAACTCAAACCCAAAATCTTTAATTTAGGAATATCTCCATCCACTACACATCCTTTGATGATATTGACCTTCAATTTCATGACAATAGCTTCAAGATCCCTAGGTCTATACAATTCCAACATCTTCAATTTTTTACACAAGTTTTTAGAGCTAAATGTTGAACTTGTAAAAATAAAATGAACAATAAGCACTGAAGATGACTTTTTCTTGAGAAAAAAGGGATATTTACACAATAATAATTTATATAAAAGAATATACAATGAGGATATAGATTTAGTTATCACATTGCGTTGTGGTTGTTATTGCTCTCTTATTATTATTTTGTTTCTCCACTGTTGTTTTTCCTTGTTCTCATACCTATTTTGATATATGTTGTACACGAGCTGAAGATCCTTCGTGAACAACCTCCTCACCTCCATGAGGTAGCGGTATGATATGCATAAACTCTACTCTCCCCAAACCCCACTTATGAAATTTCACTGTGTCGTGTATATTGTTGTAATATACAATGAGAATATACTACCATGCTTGTCATGAAAATGGAGGAAAATATTAGTTTGAAGAACAATATATAGTGGAAATATCACTTATGACCACTTGCGAATTGAATGAAAGGAAATGACATTTGAATTTTTGTGTACAAATGAATATCTCTCAAGAACATACTTGTGTAAGTGCTTTTTCAACTTGATATTTGTGCACATTTTTCTAATAGGACTACTTTTATCTATGAACAATAAGTCTTTGCAAAGTGTTAAGTTTGATTCCAGCAATTAGCTCCACACCTTGTTTGATACCAATGGTTAAGATATATTTTAGCAACTCCTTTGGTTGATTGATTACTCCAAAATATAAAGATTTCATACAATGTCCTTTTAACAATTTCAGATGCACTCAAAGAGCACATGGAGAAGAAGACTTGTAAGAAACGCAATTATGATTTAGCTGGAACTTCTGCATCGAGTGTGATCACTCAGCAACACTGGGCAGACATGCTTAACCAAAACTATGATTCATCAGAAGAAGAGGAGTTGGAAATGCAAAGGAGAAACGCTGAACACAAGAGCTGGAGGGACAATGAAAGTCGTCTACGTCGCATGCATTTAAGGATAGAAGCTGCATTCAACAATTCTTGTTCTGATTCCGATGATCCCTCTCAAGACCCTGATGATGATATACACACAAACATTGATGGCTTGGCTGATAGATTGCACAAGCTGGTTGCAAGTCAAGAGGAAGAGTTGAAGGCAAGTCAAGAGGAAGAGTTGAAGGAAAGTAAAGGGGAAAATGATGATGCTGGTGATATGGCACCTGGGCCTAACTCGGCCTAAAAAGCTAGCTCACGGAGGAAGGATTGTCCAAATCTGCGAACAATGTGGAAAACCTAATAAGGACAACCTGGGATAGCAGATCTATGAATAGTTCATTGCTTCAGACTGTTCAAGCATAGTGAGAACTTTGTTTTTTTTGAAACTTGTTTTTCAAGTTACTGCAGTAATTTTCTTAGTCGCCTAATACTTAAGTTGCTTAAGTTTAGGATGATTTGAATTTTAAACTTTTGTGTGGTTGTTTAAGTTTGTTGAGATATTTGAAGTTTTTGAATTAAGCTGTTGTTTTGTTGTAGTTGGCTATTTAAAGTACTCCTATGCTTATGAACCCTTTTTTTATGACTCTGGTGTTCTGGTCAGCTTTCGCGCACCTCGGAAAAGCACCGAAGGTAGGAATACAACCAAAAAGTGTAGTAAGCTGCCTGTAACACGAGCAGCAAAGAGAAGGAACAATGGTGCAATAGAAATTGCACCAACTGAAACTGTGGAAAGAGGCACAGGCTATAGAAGAAAAGAGAAGACTCACTGGTATGGAAGCTGCAAACTGGATCTTTTACTATTAACTCTTATGACAGGAGTTTAATCTGTTCTGCTGCTGAAGTAGGAACATGGGCACGGAGACAAATCTGGAGGGAAAAAGCTCCACATGAACGGGGGGTTTTCCGCTGGATTTTGGTCCATGAAGTGGCCCTTAACCAGGATAGTTTACAGAGAAGGGATGACTTTATTAAAACTCTACTAATGCTGCTATTAGCTAAAATCATAACCTAGCTTGAGACCCATCAACTTGGTATTGCTACTACCTATTAAGTACATTTATTAGACAACTCCTAACTTTATGATTTTGGTTGGCAATGCCAATATCCATATTGAAAACCATATATAACCAAGATATCATCATCGTAGGTTTGATTTATGGAGTTCAACCAGAGCAAACCTCTACAGCATAACAGTATCTCGTATCCCAAAACTGGTTTTCATCAACTTGCCATTATTTGTCAGCATTATCAATAAGAAGTAATTCATCATATTACCTTTTTGATGTAGCAAAATATCTGACTTCTATTTGAGGAGCACGTCAGGAGGTGAATGAAGGACCTCATTCCTTTTTTAGCCTTCATCAGTATGTCTCACTTGAATCATTCTTCCAGGATCACAGGCACCTGAATATATTGGAGCCAAGGGCATCTTAAAGACCAACAAAATATGTGCAATCAGATAATAGATTTTAAGGAAAAAGGATAGCCAAGAACTGCACCTGTGGACTCAAATGACGGCAAGGAATTGAATCAGCTCCACCTAGCATATCATGATATAGGCTTTAAAGAGGGTTTGCATGATGGATTCTGGGATAGCCTTCCTCTCATATCCTTTACTAATTGTGTAATTAGTAATTACCACAATTTTACTTTCCACCTTACAAGATCAAATTCAATTAGGACGCATGTGTAAGCCTCATCAAATGAAAAAAAATCTTATCACTATTAAAAGACTAGTAAATGCAGTTTCCTACCAACATGGGTTGCGGTGCACTGGTGGGAGTGCTTCACCCTTAGCCAGAGGTCTCGGGTTCGAGTCCTGGGTATGGAGAAAATCATGTTGGGAGCGCCACCACCAAATGGGCCCTACAGTGAGCGACCCGAATTTAGTCGAAGTTCCAATGTGGGCTCTGGACACCAGGTGGGAAACAAAAAAAAAAGCAGTTTCCTACATACCCAGCAAAGTAAAGAAATGATGATGCAACGGAAACTGCTGCAATTGAAAGTATCACTCAGTTAAAACAGGTCGATAGTGGGACATCAAAATTAAGAAAAGGTGCAAAATGATTGGAAGTTGGGGAACTGATTCAACTGTTTTAGCTGCTGGAAACAGCACCGGCCCTAGAAGACAAGTCAGACTCACTAGCATGGGAGCTACAAAGAACTGAATCTTTCACTGTTAACTCTTACAGCAAGAGTTTGATCTCTTCTATTGCTAAAAAGAAACATAGCCATGGAGACAAATATGGAGAAACAAAGCACCAGGTAGTGGCACTTTTTCACTTGATGTTGGACCCTGAAGCTGCCCCTTACCCAGGATAATCTACAGAGAAGAGGAATGACTATATGTAACAGATGTCATTTGTCTGAATGCAGAAATTACAAATCATCTTTTCATACATTGCCCGTAATAGCTTCATCTAGGCAGTTACTCCTGACTATATTCAATGATAAGAGGGGTAGTGCCAAGAACAGCAAAAGAATTAATGCAGTGCTGGTATTAATAAAATGTCCTAAACAATGAGAGAAAGAACATCGGGACACAAATCCGTCCTGCATATGCTGGATTGTGTAAAGAAAGGAACCAGAGAGTTTTGAAAGAAAATCTGGTAACATCTTAAGGTTAAAAATAGATGAACTTCCCTTTTAAGATTTTGGCGTAAAATGTAGAAAGCACAAACTTCTCTGTCTGTTGCAGTAGGCACAATCATGATGTACATGTTCAATGCAGCAATGGGAGATTTTAGCTTCAAAAGCATTGGGCCACCAATGTTTTCGACTGAACAAAATAAAGTAATGTACTTCCCTTTTAGGTTATCAATAAATTGATTTGACATAATTTTCCTAACTTGGGTGTTAAAATTGTATTTTAGAAGCCTACTGCAAAAAGTAATAACAAAAATTTTAGATCACTCCAGAATTGTCCTAATCAGCTTTTCTGTCTCTTTCTTTGAAGGAAAGAAAGTTTAGTTCTAAACTAGGATACAAACCAAAAAAAGTGACAAAATCAGCCATACATTTTGATCTAAAATAGATATTTCCTCTAATGAAGTACCACTGACCATGAAAGTTGAATATTGCAAGAAAGTAGAATTCAAAATTCTGACCACACTGGAAACACACACCAAAACACTCAATTTGACAAAAGTTATTCAGAAGAAGTGATTGGTGTCTCTATCTCCTAGCAGAAACCACAGATTCTCTCTAAGGAATGACTGCACTTCAAGAATGTCAGTGCATCCATCATCAAATTTACTGTAAGCGGTAACAGAAATACAGTGAGGGATGTGTAGTAGCACATGCTACAAATTTGATCCCTATCACATATCAATAAGACTAAAAAATACAACATTAAGTTATAACAAAAATGTGAAGTTGCACGATCAAGGTGTATAAAGCAAATAAATCTTCTCTTCCGGTTTGGCCTTAGACAAGCTAAAGGTGTTGCAATCTTTATAAGACATCAACCATCTTGAATAGCTCAGACTATATATCCCATTTCCATCTCAATATGGTGGGAATTATCTTTGCAAAGTTTATTTACTAGAGAACGGAAAATTTTTTCTCTGACGACATGACCTAGCCTAAGCATGTTATCTAAAATGGATAAAGATTCATCCAACTTATCTGCTTGAGAAAGATGATAAATCAGTTTCTCAAAAGTTTTTCTCCTTGGTCTGAGCCTACTCTTCATCATACTGCTCAACCAATCTAGCCCCTCTGTTACATATCCCTGCTTGATTAATCCAAGTATGATAGAATCATAAGTCGATGTTGCTGGTTTGACACCTCTATCTAGCATATCATTCCACAATGATTTAGCTTCCGAAACATGGCCGATCTCACAAAGTTTCTCAATTAACACTGTATAAGAAGCAGGTGATGGTTGCAACCCCTGCTTTAACAGTTCATATAAAAACTGAAGACCTTTATTTATCTTCCCATTCTTGCAGAAACCCTGAATAAGAGAAGTGTATGTGACCACATCATGGGCAACACCATTCTCAGCCATTTTATTGAACAAGTTGTGAGCTTCTCCTACTCTTCCATAAAGACACAGCCCATGAATCATGGTATTATATGTCACTGTGTTCTCTCCATATCCTTTATCACACATTTCCTTATAAAGACTTACAGCTTCTTTTAGACGGTTAGTTGTTAAATAACCATGGATGAGTGTGTTGTATGTGTATTCATTGGGATTGAATCCCTTTTGAATCATCTCAAACCATAATTTCCGGGCATCTCCAACCGATTTCATTTTACAGAGACCATTAATCATTGTTGTATACATAACCATATCCGGAGCATAGCCTCTATTCTTTAGATCATTAAATATCCTAAAAGCTTCACGCATCTTTCTTGTTTCACAGAGTCCCAGAATAACATGCTGATAAGTGAATATATCAACAGAACAATTAGTTGCAATCATTGAATGGAGAAGAGATGACAGTCTAGAGTAATCTCTGTTCTTACATGATTCATAAATCAATTTATTAAAAGCAACACTACTAGGGGCATGCCCAGCTTCCAAAGCCTGTCGAAGAAGTTGATGACCATCTGGAAAATTGTTCTCCATACAAAATGCTTGAATCAAGTGCCCAATTGTACCTACATCTGCTACAACACCAGACTCTGTCATATCCTCATACAATTTCCAGACAGTGTCAGTTCTTCCAGCTCGGATAGAATCTGAAAGGGCTGAATTCCAAATTCTCAATGATGGGCAGTGGCCAACACTTCTCAACTCAGTAAACACGTCAAGGGCATCCTCAATCAATCCATTTTCACAAAGACACTGAATGTAGGCCTCCAAACAATTAGGTTGAGGCACAAAAATCATATTTTGCCGAAAACATTTGGCTGCACTGGCGGCCTTGGCTTGTACAAGCCCACTAAATATGACTTCATCAGAGAACTGATCCCTCGAAAAACCATTTTGAGAACTAAGCCAAAAATGAAACCGAAGCGACAACATAATATTTTTTTGTGCCTTCAGAACCTCAGTATAGAATCTTGGATCAGTAAAATTAACAGTGGGAAAATCAGATAACAATATTTGTTCCCATCTGGGTCGTGTCCGGATGACTTTGCAAACATCTTTAGCTATCTCAGCAAAGCTCAGTTGCTCACTTTGATGATTTACTGAACTTGATCGATCTGCGTTTTGTGCAGCAACTTCACCTTCAACCCTACCATTAGTTCCAGCAATACTTAGGTTACGGATTGGGGAATTAAAGTTTTGGCGAGTGCACAAGCTTCTGACAAAAAATGGAGGTCTAGCCATTCAAATCTGCAAATTGTTAATCAAATTCAAATGGGTATCTACTATCCAGAAATGCCAATCAAATAAACAGCTAAAATACATGAATTTACATGGAATGACTCTTCATATCCACACACATTTAAGAATCTACAAATAGCAATATAGATATAAATGCAAAAAAAAAAAGAATTCCAAAACACATGAATTTACATGAAATGCCTTGTCAGGTAACCATTTATCCATAAATGAACGGCAGAAAGAATCTCAAATCTGCAGATTCCTCCGTAAAATACAGATGGGTATCCGAGAATCCGAACAAAATTTCAGTTAAATAAATGAATCTACAAACACATAGAACCATACAGCAAAGAATTTCAAAATCTACAATCTTGAATAAATTTCAAATGGGTATCATAAATGCCAAAAAAAAACATCTCGATTAAACTTCCAATTAAGAAAAAATCTTACCTTTTTAGCCTTATAAGCCCGAAATCTAGTTTCTTGAACCTTCAAGACCCATTCTGACCGTCTCGGACCCAAAGTATTGACAAGGCAGGACAAATCCCTTAAACTGGAACTTTGAAAGAAGAATGCTTTAAGCCTTAGAAAAAAACAAAAACAATGGCGAATCTTGCTGATTGATGAGAATAAAAGATGGTATTGTGACAATTTTTTTGCAGAAGAGTGAAGCTACAAATTTGAGGAACAGAGGAAGAAGACGACTATTTCACTAAGCATTGACAGAGGAGTAATACGTAATGCAGAAATAATTGTACCTATTGAGACAAACAAAAGCCTATCTTCTGTTGGGCCTGATTGGGCATTTACACAAACTAAAATTTTTGAGATCTGATTTTTATACAACATAGTAAATATGTGTTATGTATATATACGGTATATAATGTTTTGGTGATCAATCATCTTTTGACATGTGTATCATATTAGTCGTAAAATACAATTGTTACACTATACAACAAAATTTCATCATAGCTACAGATTGTAAACAGAGAAAATTTAGCCAAGAAAATTCAGTTATTTTTGAATAACTATATATGCTTATAAAATTTCATATTCTTTTTTAGTTGAGTAATGAACATAAAAAAAGATATGTTACATATTTTCGTTCAGCTGAGTTTGTCATATTATTTTCAAAAAGCATCTAAAATGACAGAAAGTTGGATAATTCTTGTCATCTTTTGAAGATGTCTCAGACTAGTAAAGCTCCTTGTTAGGTCTAATCATTCATAGTCACCATAATATTTATTGACAAATTTTCTAACACTGTATTCATTCAAAGTAATCAAATTAAATTATATCTATACTCGATAATGGTATAGTAGTATTTGTTATTTCACGTAATTTTTCCTTACTTAATACTAAGAATAATATGAAAACAAAATGATAAAACTCTCATAAATTTCAAAAATGAATTAGTTTGGAAATTTAGCATGACTTTTGGAGTTTTTTCAAAATATAAAACATTAAGTCGAACTAAAAACACATAAAGAACAATTAGAAAATACACAAAACAAAAAAAAGAAAACATATGCAATACTTATTTGTTTTGAATATAACGAAATAGAAACATAAAAAAAAAAAACTAAAAATGATGCAAGAACACGAAAAAAGAAAATACACAAATGTTTTTCTTTATAAACTTATTTTGTTCTTTTGAATAACTACAAAAATGCGATAACATAATTAAGAAACACACTATATATTCAAATTTGATAAAAATACACCGTAGAGAACTTCACTTAAACTTGAGTCCGGAGCGTAAGGTATAAAATATTAACAAAAATTTCAAAACGATATATTATATCAACCAAAACGGCAAAATCACTGGAACAACAGAGATTTCCTACATTGAAAAAGCAAAATTGCTGCTGCAAAAATTTTTAACTAAAAGAACTTCAATCAAAATTGAATCTTTTTCGTATTCATAAGGCAAAAGAAGAACACCAATCTGATTCTTTTCCCTTTTTCAGGCACCAAAAGTTTCCTGCATTTCAGGTATAGATTATACTGTATACAGACAACACATCCAATAGTGCCTTTACATTAAGAAAAATGTCAAGTGAATCAGATAAGCAGTTTCTAACAACACTTGAAAGTTTTCGTCATCCCAGCCAGAAGCTCATAATTTAGCAACACCCAAATCTTCGTGGCGAGAGCTAGAATGATTGCAGTTACCAAATCACACAAGGATCTGATGATGATTTTCTTAAAGAACTAATACTGTTTGTAAGTATGTAATCAACAGTTAGCTTCTCTGGAGCGCAACTTGTTTAAAAATCCCATCTCCTGATACAGAGATATTCCGGAACATCACATTGAGGTTCCAGAAAATGTAAGTTTCGATCACCTTTACGTAGTGGGAAACCAGGTCCAAACACTTCCATAGTCATTTCATGCAGCTGCCATGTCAGTAACGACTTCAATGCTCATCACAGATAAGAGGGACAGAGCAACCAGCCACTTTCAATTGATAAAGGAAATTGATTTGACCAATTTTCTTCTTCATGGACATATGCTAGGAAAGAATCCGACTTTTTTCTAGAAAAAGAGTACAAATGTGGAGGAAGAAGAGGAGAAAAGAAGTTCGAAGAGAAGTGTTGATCGCTGTTTTGGAGTTTAAGATAGTTGAAGGTAAAAAGGTCAAGCGATGGATCTTTTTCAGATGATTAGTCATGTTTTTATTGTATAAGGTATTTAGGCAAAGTGACTAAGGCTATTAGACCAAAAAGGCATGATATGGAAATATAATTTGCAACTCCACTAGATGAGTCTGCTGACAAGAATATTTTGTGAGTGGTGCTGTCCCCTCGAAAACCTCTAACAATCATTGCCTACAAGAAACACAAAGATTTAGAGAAGTGCTTAATAGTAAAATCTAATAAAACCTAAAGAAAGAAAAACTACAACTTAATAGACAAACAGATTTATTCTCTTCCCAGGAAATAACAAACACAACCACAAGATGCTACAATCAAATTACTAATATAATGCAGTGAACTAATGTTCTACATCCATCAGCATTGAATCAACTCAGTTAAGTGCAAACTTCGTGCGTTATGGTTTTAATCCTATATTAGATCTACACGTCCTCGGTTAATTCATATGCATTAGACATTAAAAAGATCTGATTTTGTGGGGCTTGCGAAGTATATGAATTGGAATCACATTATTTTGTTCTAGCCTCTCAACAATGACTAGAGTGCATACCTGTTTCTAGGACTTTAAGCAGCTTAAGCACTCATAATTCAGTTTCAATAAATTGTTGCTGGTATTGATGGTCCGACCACCATAAAATATCCAGAGTTCAACTCATAATGTTGCTTCACATTTCGCTATGAACTATGTCCCATTCCACATACTGATATTAGTTTATTTTATTTTTATAACTATACTTTCATATTCGTACAGTGCAGAATAAAACATATAACATTGACTGATCTCTTGTATAGAGAGAGAGAGAGGCCAAACAGAAACCCAATACACACAGAAGGATCAGCTAGATAAATGCTAAAATAAGACTTCATCTTATAAATCATACCTGAGATATCTGCTCTGCATGAACAAAAATATTTCTGAATATCCGACGTATATATGTGAAGAAAACTGCAAGAGATCAACTTCAGTATCTTAGAGAGCAGAAAAACAATAACTTTAGGATCAAATCTCAGTAGGGAAAAGATGAGGGTTTCACAAAATTAAGAATGGACAACATTTGGTTAGCATGAAGCAGACATTTTTCTGTAGTTGAGAAACGGTAAAAACACTGAAAAAGCATCATATGTACTTCATCATTTGCAAGGCAATTTATATAGTTAGGGAAAAGAGTTGAACTATTAGGAGATCCTGTTATCTTCTGTGTATAGTATGAACATAGTAACCGACTAACTCAATTGAAGTGCACTGAAGAAAACTCTTCACAAACAGAAGAACTTTGAAGAGAAGTGTTATCGGTGAATTACACAATTTTAAAATGCAATGAAATAGGTTCTCTTCATGATACACTAACCATCTATCGTCTCCAACATTGTCATCTGCTGCCAATTAATCCTACGAGATACAATACCAAGAGCAACATTTCGGACCTGCCAGAATTATTACCAAAAAGAATCAGAATTTTAGAACTATTCCCTTTTTTCTTGTGAAGAATTTTCAAACTATTGCCGACTATAATCAGTGCATTCTACATAATAATGACTCCACCTCTATTGAATTAACACAAAGAATAGCGGCTACTCACCTCATCAAACACAAGATTGATAAATCTCAAGGAGAGCAGGAGAGTAAGGATAACTTCAGCAACAGGGACACCAAGGTTGGCCAAAGGGGATATAAACCACCGCAAGGCAAAAGCTATCTGCTCCGGTGTTGTGGTTGATAGGAATACACTTGCACTTTGGAAGATCTTAATCAAACAAGAAATAATTTAAAATCAGAGTATTACTGAGAGTCAAATTCAAACAAGCCTGCACGCATTTGACAATGATTGTTTCCTTAAGTTCAGGAGAGAACAGAATATTGGAGTCCAGAGGGGATAATGCGATATTCAGGAATGAATCTCTTTAATTGTCAATTCCTTTTACAGCTTTCCAAATCCACAAAATTCACTTCTCATAATAGTTGGTTCATAGATTTATATTACTTTTAAGATTCCCAATGATTTCACCAAGCAATTCAAAAGATTCAACAAATTCTGAATTTTAGACAAGTTGAGTTAAACAGAAAAGCCAGACGGTACTTTTCTTCTTAAAGCTGCATTAAAGAATGTTTGATTAAAGGTGGAAGTTCTTCAAGTTTGACCTTAAACATTACCTGACTGAAACTAGTTCACATTAACTAGATGAAAAAGCAGCCACTTATTTAGATGATTAAGAAAGCAACCATTTGTTTTCATTTTGAAAAGTGTACCTTGATGCTGCTAGAAGGAATACAGAACTAGTTTGCTATGTCGACTCAACAACAAATGGCAAGTCACTACTCACAGTGAAGGTTAAACATGCTGATGTAGTAGCGGTTGACAAGCCTTTTCTGGTGAGTTGTAATGGCCCCAGCTTCAAGATTACATATTTATAACCTTCCAAAGATGCAGGAAAAGATGGTAATCCCATCATTGAAGGCGGGGGAGCTCTTGAAGAGATGAGGGAAGGTGCACTATCAGTGCTTAGGCCCAACATTATAAATAAGATCCCGGACAGCAGTGTGACTCTCCCGAGTTGATCCTGTAACCATATTGAACAATCAACAAGGGAACTCTCTCAAGCATTGGAAAATTTGTAGTGAAACAAACAAGGCAAATGCCCCATAACTCATCAGAATAGAAAAAAACCCATTTGAAGCATGAAACTCATTAAGATTCACGGCCAAACTTACCTTCCACACTTGTGCAGGCTGAACCAAAATAGATAGTATGGCTAAGTACGCAACCAATGACAAACGCATGACTACATTTGATTTTGCCGGTAATATAACCAGAGTAAAGAGCCATGCCTGCATAACCAAGAAATGGGGATTCAAATAAAATCAGTCTTTAACTACAGAACAAACGACATCATGAATGAAAGGAACAGAACAAAACAACCTTTCTTTTAACACTCTAACATGACCTCTTAGTGAAGAAGAAAGCAATAAATGCCAAGCATAATGATTGTAGAACTCGTGGAAAACAGATGCCACAATACTTGAGCAGTATTGATTATAACCCATTATGCTATGGGCAAAACATGCAGCTATAGAAGGGATATACTCCATCCCCTTTCCTGCTGCAAAAGATGAACCCCACTTCTATCAAGCAATTACATTAACCTCTTGACCACCAACCTAGCTCCATCACATTTCTTAAACTAACTTCCTCGGTAGAATGTAAAGCCCTTCTCAGTCACACACCCTCGAGTCTGGAGATATGTTGAAGAAATAACAATAAGAAATCTGAAAGTAGTGCAAGTGTTTATAGAATTTTTCATTACAAGCACAACTGCTTCTCGCCCTCAAACTAGTTGGCAACGGCTAAAAATCTTTGACTACTTATTTTTAAACTGATATAGGATTCCTGTAATCAGCACCAATTCTAGTTCATACCAATAAAGAATGGACAATGAGATTAAAAGTTCCATTGTTAAAACCGAGAAATGCATTTTAAAGACATCAAAGCAAGATCTCAAAATGGAAGAACGAGCTCTTTTCCTAGTCCCCATCTCTACAAACAGCATAGTTCACACAATCCATCTCCATTAATCCACTTAGCATAGTGAAAGAAACTTGTGTAACACTATTCACAACCTGCTCTGATGAACTAAACGTAAACATTTTCCTTTTATGATCTTTAATCTTTAGCACAGTTAAACAAGCAAACACAATTATTCAACCATCCAATACAATCAAAAACAACCCATTGGACACACACAGCTAAACAAGAAAACCCAATAACTGAACCATATTGTACACTTCAGAAACAACCCATAAAAACTGAAAACTCCCAATAATAAAATTCAACAAGTTCAACACTTTTCACACTAAAAACCTCAAAAAAAGACAAATTTTTATACCAATTTGATTCTTGGATCGACAGAGTGCACCAAAGTGAATGGAGAAGGTATGTACTGTGCAATGGGGCTAGAAGTTGCTCCAGATATAGCTCTAAATAGTTTATCAGCTCCAAGAATTTTTTTTGGCGACCATTTTTCAAGAATTTCTGCCCAGTTCACTGCACCCTTAACACCATCACTATTTGCTGCACAATTGATAATGATTCTTGATTTTTTTGGTTGAAGATGCCAAAAAAGGGGCTCTGTTCTTAGGTTTGGGGTAAAGTGATTCTTTGGTGTGAAGACATGGATTGAAGAGAGTGTTGGCGTTAGAGTTGGGTAGTTGTGGAGGAAATTCGCATACATGAGTGATGTGATGAGGAAGGAGAAATTACAGGGATGTGAATGGAAGTCCAATTGGAATGTTTTATGGGTATAAATGTGATTTTTAATTTAATTTTATTTAAATTTAAATATTTACTCAATATTAAATAACATAAATATTAGGATAAATGACCTAAATTCCACTTTTAAGTTCTCTCTTTACCATTATCCTCTATTAGTTTTACAAATTCTCAAAATTTTTCATTTTCACGCATTAGATTACTGTATCATCTTGTGCATTAAGTTAATGTATCTCGCGGATCAGATTAGTGTATCATGTATAAAATGTAATGTATTTTACTTAACGATTAATGTACCTCGCGTATCAAATTAATGTATCAATGCTTATATTATTGTATCAGTTTGATAGGGTTTTGTAATTATAAATTTATAAGGGACAAATAGTAATTTTGCTTTAAAATATGTGATCTTGTCCTTTGCTCATAATATTAACGAAAATAAGTTAAAAGTCATATTTATGTATTATACATTTATAATTTGATACTCTTTTCGTTCAATAATATTTGTTTGGACTGGCTTTATTCTTAAGTAATTATTAATTAAAAAATAATTATATTATGTTATCATTTGGACATAATTAATATAATATTTTGAAAAATATAATTTAAAAATTATTATAAATAATAATAAAGGTAAATTAAGAATTAATAGTGTACATAATTTCAATGGCTCTTCTCTTGACAAATTTCCACAATAAGAAAAGAGTTGAAACGTGGAGTATTTAATTGATGAAAAGAACTTACTTTTTCAATTTTAATTCTTGTAGTTTTTTTATTTATTATTTTTGATAAATTAAGAAAATATAATATTTTTATCTATTATATTTTTAATTTATTTAGAGAGTTGTATTTTTTGAAAAAAGAATCTTTAACGAGTAAATTGATTTTGAGATTCTATTGATATAATAAAGGTAAATAGTAAATATATTATATTAATTTTTATTTTTTTAATTAATGTGTGAAGTCAAAAATAGACAAGTAAATAAGATACTGAAAATACTTTGTTGATGAGAAATTTAAAATTCTATTTAAGGTGATTCTTTTAGTGGCAAGTTCAACAATGCTTATTAAAACTAAAATATATAATTCATTGTTCTTGCTTCACAATTATTCTAACATGAATAGAACAATATTTCACAGAAAAATAGTAAAAAACTAGAAAATAACAGAACTCTGTACAAATCACATCTTTACACAGTAAAAAAAAATGAATATATATTTTTACACACACATTAAAACTGAAAACTCAGTAAAATGATAGGAAATAAATAAAAATTATTTATGGTACATTAATAAATTGTAAAAATTCTCAAATTCTTCCTCTTTCTTAAAACTCTCGTCTAATAACATCTTCGATTCCAGCATGAATTGCAACAGTGCAAAACATTTGTGTACCACCTAATATTATCAACATGGTCTCCAAGGTCCTCTACAAAACATTGTTAAAAATTAATTAAATTGCAACAATATTTTTCGATTCACCCGAATTTAGAATCAGCAACTCAAATGTTGACTCCGACTCTGTTTACTTTCTTCTAACTAAGAAAAAATTTATATGAAAAACTTACCAAGTTTGAGTCACTCCACCCCATATTAATCTCCTTACAAGCCAACCTGCAATCACAAATACAAAATTAATATAAATGACATGAAAGTGGTACACCCTCTCCGTTACGTTGCGCTTTTCGAGAGTCAATTTCACCAACTTCCAACACCACCAACACCAGTGAAAGTGTACAAAAAGTACTATAAATTGCAATTCTTTTTCACATCAATATGATGAGAAAACACATCGCAAAATGTTAGACACAGTCCTTATCGTATGACTCTCAAAAAGGAAATTGTGACAAGTAAAAAGGAACGGAGAATGTGTTATTTACCCCATAGCGAGTAAAGTGAGTAGCCAAGTGGTGAGAGAAGAGAAAGCAGCTGCATATAAGTTTGGTGCATTCCATTGTATCACATTGTGAATTCCAGTGAGTGAGGAAATGAAGCCAACAACTCCAGCAATAAGTGAAAATATGATGAGAAAACCAGTTGCCATATTTCCAAAAGGAAAGTATATAGGAAAGATCTTAGCTGGGAATGACAGACTTGATGCTGCAAATATTTTTCATCACATTAAAAGTCATCATCGCGACGGCTTTTACATGTTGTGGAAACATCTTCTACCTTGACAGGACAGTGCTCTGAATGACAAAAATAGAAGAAGAGAAAGGATCGATGATATTACCTGTTGCTTCGGATCTCTCTATGGCATGATTGACAGCCCAGCCAGAAATTACAGCAACAATGAAGTAAAGGAAAACATTAAGGACCAAAAGCATAAAGGCTGCTGATTTGCCTGCCCCTGAAGCCATGGCCTGACAAGTTTAGCTTAAACAAAAGCAAAGGAGAGAAACTTTATTGAATCAAATCCCTTTTGTGATTTCAATACTGAATGCATATATGTATATAAAGCCATGATTGTTCCATTCTTTATCTAGACAACATTGACAGCTTGTAGCTTTTTCTCCAAAGAAATGAAAAGAATCTCTTGGACTAGTTTACAGCAAGCATTCTGATAGGGGAAGGAATCACTTTGGCTTCACACAAATGTAAAAGGTATTTAATAAATATTCTAAAGAAAAGAAAGCCAAGCTTGTACATGACATTATGCATCTTTTACTAACTTGAAGTCTTCATTTACTTTGCACATCAAGTACAAAGTACTGAAAAATAGCATGCTGGACACATATATTCAAGTCCATGTAACATGAATATATATATGCTGGAAAGAAACCAAGTTCAAATCCAGATAAAGGACGAGAGTCGTGGCAGATTGATGGCCAACATGCAATAAACTATTATGATGATTTCTCTAAAGAACCTGAACTTGAACATAGTAGACAGAAGATAACATCATATAAGTAACTTAACTAGCTAGTTAGAAACTGAAATGTACATGACTGATTATATGTTCAAAGATTTCATTCGGAAAGAGCACACCAATTGGAATTTCAGAGAAATGGATTCATCTGGAGAAAAGAAAGGTAAAGATGTTCAAAGTAGTCCAACAATTACACCTCAACTCCAAAGTAGTCTCATGTCTTAAGAAACCTATTTTCTAGGATGAACTGGTAAATTTTGGTTCCTTTACAAGATTTTCCCAAATAAGGGAACCTCAACAAGGTACAAGCTTCAGAACTTATCTCATAAATTCTAAGAGGATTATTATGAAAACAATTTCCCCTCATATACTCTAAACCTTCAATGAGATCTTTTGGGCAGCAAGAGCTTCAGCCTCAAGGGTTGGCTCCCACAGTATAGTAGTTTCAGCAAGTAATCCAGTCACAACATAGGGGTCCATGTTTGAAGCTGGGCGGCGGTCTTCCAAATAACCTGCATCGACCAACCCCAGAAACAAAAAAGGAGAAATAAACAGCATCAGAAGGACCATCAATGCCAAGGCCAAAGTGTTTAGCTAAATAGTTGCAAATTCTTTAAAAGGCCATGAGAAACAGTGATGCTTGGATCATGGATAACTGTTCAGAAAAGAGTTAATTCATCTCTTTTTATTTTGAGATCCAGTATTTTAACTTTCTTTTATGCGAAATGTATGTTGAGAAAAGTGGTCCGCAAAATAAGCTACATTTTTCATCATTGCACAATAAACTCAAGGATGCTAATGTTACTCCCTCTAATAAAGCAGAAACTTACCCTTGCCTTCCTTCTCAGTGTCACGCCCCACACGGATTGAGCAACCACGGTTAGCAACTCCCTGCATATTTAGAAAATCAAGAAGGAATGAGGATAATTGGTACACACTATTTATGTACAAATGAAGGAAAGATCAGCAGCAGGCATACCCATGAAAATTGGTCAATACTAGCAGTTTCATGCTTTCCGGTCAACCTTCTCTCATTTCCTTCTCCATAAGCACTTATATGTTCCTTGTGGCGAAGGGATAGATTCAGAATTGCTTTCTTTATAACTTCAAAACCTCCCTCTTCTCTCATACTCAGTGTACTGCAAACAACAAACCATTAATAACTAGTAAGTGAATCCTTCAAAGGAGTTTTACTATGGAAACCATACATTGGTTTTCAGAAGACAGAATTGCTAAACTGGAAAAATGAAAAACGGAGAGGGGGCGCGGTTAAACAGAGAAACAAGAACTTGACGAAACATGAAACAAAATGATGAATTGTAAAAGTCACTTGCAACTAATTCCTAGTTGTAGCAACTACCACATAATGAGCAAGTGATTTCGGTCTTAACAGATTCACATCCCAAATCTTATCTTTAAGATTCCTAGTTTCTCTCTTGCAAAAAGGAGCTACCTGTAGTTAGTGTGGCATCCTGCACCGTTCCAGTCACCCTGTGAATGCCAGGACCAGAGAAGAAAAAATGGAGTTTCATAATTGTACTTAATTTGAATAACAAAAAAATCATAAAGAATTTTAGATCACCTCAATTGGTTTTGGATCGAGTGAGAGGACAACTCCTGCTTGTTCAGTAATTCTCTGTTAGATCAAGGAATTGGAAAAAAAAAAAAGAAGAATGAGTAATCTGATTTCTTAGTTCAGCAACCACTTCAAATACAGAAGGACATAAACCACAGCAACAGTCAAAGGAACCACTTTAGGTAATAAGTCGATCATTTCATGCCACTAGAAAAATATTTCCTTAATCCCCACAGCCGGGACCTGGAGCTGAGTCGAATAGGTATTCAAGTATTGTTCGTTGAATTAGGATGATATGCTTGCCAGATGCCCTAACCTGCAAAGGAAATTTATGCAGATTTGGGAAGATTAATTACCTCGAGGAGGTATCTAGCACACC